AAAATCTCTCACAGGTTAAATAATAAAGAAGTATTTAAAACCAGTGTCTGGAACACAACACTCAAAAGATCAGAAATCAAACTACTGTTTCCAGAAATGGTGGGAAAACAAATCAAAATTGATCAACTGCCTTTCACAGCATCCATTTGAGACACCACCTGATGTGCTGGAAATCAAGTGGAAGAATGCTGAATGAGAACACAAAGTTTACTGAGGTTTTTGCTGTTTAAGGAAAAAAAAATATATATTCTTTGAGATAAAGATTGTTTTAAAAGTAAGTTCTAAGTTCCAAAAACAAATAATGTCACAATCCCCTGGGAATACAAAAGATATAAAACATAGGCTATTCACAAGGGCCTGAGGATAAGTCACCCTAAACAGGTCCTACAAATACTAAATAAAACATAATTTAGGTTTTACAATTCATCTTCTTCAGACATGAATCCAACAGTTGTCTGAAAGACATCCACCTAGTGCACTAGAGTGTCATATCAAAAGAGAAAAGCTTTGTGCATTAAAAAATAGCAGAGCCCTCCTTGCACAAATTACTCAGGTCGACACCGGTGCCACTTCATCTTGAGGTCAATGCCACTCCAGACTGTTCCCAACTTCAGCTCTCAAACTCAAGTTGACCAAAGCTGGCTGTGGGCTGGGCACCTGCCTGGCTCACACCAAGGTGACAGCTTAAGGACAACAGCTAAATGAGAATTTATGCCAAGTCCCTGAAAGTTTTCCTGGCCAAAGAAGGCATACATCTCCATTAATAGGCTCTGCTCTCTCTGCAGCAGCTTCAGAGGAGGATCCAGGTCACAGACAGAGGGGGAATGGTCTCAGACCTGAGGAATCCTTTTCTTCTGCCTTTAGCAGTGGGAGGCAGGTTCTCCCCAGCTTCCTCTTCTCATCAAATGCCCCACACTCCAGCTACAAATCTGGATGCTAGGGATACTTCACAATTTCTGGCTGAAGAACACTGACACCTTCCATCCCAAATTGGGCATGACAAGACTTCTTTCACTTCTGTATGTCCATAAAATACTGCACATGTGTTTCATGTAGTATTATTACTTCACTGTTCATTAAATTAAGTAAGTGATGTTTAAAACCAGAAGCTTCTATAATTTTTTCTTCAGGCAAACACTGAAATATTTCAGACATGAAATGTGCTGGTGGACTCAGATAAGCTGTTGGTCCAGATTTTTTCATCCCTTCACTTCCAGCTTCACACTCACTGATGCTCTGGCCTCTGTAATGGTCAGCTAGCAGCAGCCTTTATATAATATAAATGTTTAGAAATACCTCTTCCATTTTCTATTTAATCTCTTCCCTTGTTTTAGCCCATCTTTCTTCACAGAACACAGGAACTGAAAGAGAAACTACCCCAAATAACAAACACTGGATGAAAGATAGGAATCACAGTGGTCCCTCTTGTGTAATATAAAACCCTCCTTCCCCAAATATAAAAATATAAAATGTTTTTATAATATTTATAATTTTATATATAAAATAAAATAAAATATAAAAAAGCTCCTTCGTGAAACTGGGGCATCCACAAGAATTAGTAAATTGGTCAGAAAACACATGAATAGTTCGGAAGACCCATATGAGCAGTCTGTCAATAAAGTCTTCTGTGCCCATCCTTTAAATGGACAAGTCCCCAAAGTAAACTGTTGTTTGTGAAATACCAACTGTGACACTGGGACAGGAACTCTAGAAAAGGCCTCTTAACTACTTTAAAGCAAATGCAGGTGATAAAGCCAGACCTTCAGAAGGACCCTGCCAAAGAAGTTATTTAATCTATTATTTAAACTGTTCAAAGAAAACATGCACTTGGCACTTGCACAGGTCCAGGTTAATTCAAACCATGCTTGAAGACTGGATTACTATGAACTACAGCCACGAGTGCTGTGCAACTCAGACTAACAGAATTTACATCCTTAACTCCCAGATCCCACAAGCTCACCATGTTTCTCAGCTGTGACACACTTCAGATCCACCATTTATTCAGTCCTTATCAGTTGCATATAGCTCTCAAACACCATTCACACCAAGTCACCTTAAATGCTTAAAGAGTAACAGATAAGCCAACTTGATTACTTGACTGAAGATTACTCTAAGTATTAAAATAACTGTGTAGGCAACAGAGATTAATTCCCTTGCATCTTTTCCAGTACTCCCTGTCTAAACATTCCAGGAGTTAAGTTTTAAGAAAGAAATAACTGAACAATGAGCTCTACCCTGAAATACTAAAATTGAGATTCAAGGTTAAGGGAATTTAATCAGCCCGCACTCTAAGCAGGTTCAGTCCTGATCAACACCAGCCTGACATAACACTACATTATTTCCTATAATTTAGGTCTCACACCATATGTTAACATGCTCATTACAACTTTGTTCAACCCTTCAATTACATCCTTCTGCAGAAGGCTGTAAGAATTAACCATTACATAGTTACAAGTCATTTCATCAGCCCTAAATTAACAACACCTGGTTTCCAATAGATTATGACTGGCAATTGATTAGCTCTGATTGAAGTTCTTCCCATATTTGGAGCACACAGGCTCTCTGCATTGAGAGGTTTCTCTCCTCCATAAAATAGAAACTCAGAGACAAATTTTTCCCTTCAGTTATGGCATTGCCCACTTCTGGTCTCTTCTTGCAAGAATTTAATTGCTTTACATGTTTCCGCCTCTGCCACATTCAATCAAAAGAAACCATCCAGTTCAAAGTTCAAGGGAAAAGCAGACTGCAAATATTTAAGTCTAACCCCACCATCTTTTAGAAGCAAAGCAATTGGAAAAATCAGTTAACTATTATCCTTTGATTATGCAATCCTAAAAACAAGAGCAAATTCAAGTTATTACATATTCAGTGATTTTTTTATACAATGAAGAAAGGGCTGAATGAACTGTATGTAGTCTGGAGTACATCTTTGATCTTTTTCAAATGGCTTGTCAAAATTGTCTAACCATTTCTGCATTGCTTTAAGTCAACATTTATACATAAACAAGTGAATTATAATAGCACAAAGGCATCTGACATGTAACAGCAAAAAAAGGTAGTTCTGCAAGATAAAATGTTAGTTAGAAAGTAAATTTGTCTTCAGCTCAAGAGCTAACACACTACATTTAATAAAACAAACATGAGATATGTACACAGTGACACTTAATTCCTAATCCTAATATGACTGATAACCTATGCAAAATTTATAAAGTACTTCATAAGGGAAGTCCACTTTATAACTCAGTGAGCCATGGAAAGATGAAGCAACTTTCTCAGGGTCATGCAGCATGTTACTGCTGAAGTAGGAAAAAAACCAGTCAGGGAAACCAAACAACAGTGCCAGATCCTCCTAGTTAAGTCAGCCCTTTTCCTCCTCCTCATGAAAATTTAATTAAACTGACTTTTCTGGCACACTGCTTATATATAAATAAAAGGCAGCAAGCAATCAAGTTTGTCCTGCAGGCTAAAGGAGCAAGGGTCCTACCAAAAAATGTTCCTTTTACTTTATTCTCTTTAAAAACTGTTGCATACTGATTAATTATGTTTGCAATACTTCTCAACTTGCAACCACAAAAGTGAACAGAACTAAAATCTAATTTCACATTCCATTTTAAAAAAAATTAATTTCCAATTTTTCCACACTGATGTAAACACATTTCAAAGATGCCAATTACACTGCCTTTACAGATATTCCTTATCCTCCAATTTCTTTTCTATCCCGAATTGTATTTATCGGCAAATCAACTTAGTATCAAAGAAAAACAAATGCAAGACACTTGTTTTCATAAAATATAACAACTAAAACTTTTCAAAATGTAAATAAGGTTTTCCCATAATACTAAAGGCAGTTGAAGAAAACTGTTTCCTCTGAAAACCACAATATTTTTAATTAAAAAAAACCTCAAAAATATTTTATTGAAGATAAAATAAAACATTAATTTACTTAATTAAGCTGTAAACCCACAGTTTCATTTCTTTAAGACTTCACAGAGGAAATGCAGCAATGTAAAGACCATTTCTCTGCAAAATACAGACATCACAATTCCTCAGCTGAAAGTCCTTTATGAAAAATATTCTGCATTAAAAACAACCAGGTCTGCACTGGGCAATCAAAAATCACAGCAGGTTTCCAAATGCTGCTTATTTTCCAGCACATCTCATCTCCACGCCAGTAATTTACTCTGTGATACTACACAGACATTCAGACATCTATTTTCTTCCTTCAACACTGCACACATCAACAAAGGATATTTTTTTTGTGTTTTATGTATTTGGGAATTATAATATACAAGTTTTTACTTGAAAACTTCAGGTAATTTTGTAAACCAGGTCTTTTGCTTATTTTGATATTCTGCTAGCCATTTCAACTAGAAATTTAGGCTAACAAAACTAAAATGATGAGAAAAGTTCTAGAAGCATGCACTCTTTGCATTCACAGAGTTAAAAAAAATTATCAAGTGAAATTATCCTAGTGAAGCAGCTAAATGTCTTGTTTGTTTTCAAAATTAGAAACATAAAAGAACACAAGGTCATGCAATGCCAGTTCTATTTTTTATATACAAAACATGAGAACACTGAAATACCTTTAGTAATGATCAAAATGATTGCTGCATTTTACAATAAACACATATTACTGCTTTTTAAGCTTAGGGATTATTTCAAATAGCTTTTTATTATATCAAATAAAATAAGGATTCTATTTATACAGAAAGAGTCGAGTAATAAAACGAAGCCCATATTCCTTAAGACAGGATGCATTCATGCCTTTCCCACTGGAGAGACTGGTTCAACAATTTTACAGTTAAACAGAATTAATTCTACTCTCAAAAATCCATTGACCTTAAGCTTTTAACAAACATTTTCAACTGCAGAGTGTATTGTCAATATTTACAAATCCTTAAAATTATATTTCACTAGAACAGCTTTTATTTGCTATATTAATATTTCCTTGCAAATGTATGCTTATCCATATCAGAGAAGACGAAACAGCTGCTACTCACAGGAAATCTCTGGGGTCCTACAGCAGGTCTTGGCTGGGCAGGAACTGGCAGCAAGGGCACTGAAACAAGAAGCACCTTTTAACACCATTTGTTTTACCTAACAGTTGTTGTAGTTATTTCCAAAAGCAGTTGCAATAAAAAGCCATGATTAAAATCTGCTACTTTTACCATCACATGTCACAGTTCCTACAAATTAACTTTGAGCAACTGTTCCCTCCCTTGCAACATGCAACAGGGCAATTAGGATTCTCCTAGTTAATTTACATAATTTGGTTCTGCATTTTCCAGAATTAAATTGCTCCTTGTTGCAGGAAGGCAAACTAGAATAGTTATTCAGCCAAAGACATCACAGACAAAGCTGACAGAGACACTAAAAATAATTTCATGTCTCAAACAGAAGGATCCATGATTAATTTGACTTCTCAGCTTCACGCCACTCAACATCTCCCAGGCATCTCCCAGTCTCACCACCAAGCTACCACAAGAAGCATGGACATGAGAGACACTAACTGGTATAAATCACTGCTCATGAGGGTAAAATGAGGCAGGCAGCTGCAATTAACAGCACACAAAAACTACTTAGTCTGGCCTTGCCACCACAGTGGTGTGATCACAGAACTGCTGATCTCAGATGAAAGACTGTGATTGCATAGAGACACCAAGAAGAATTAGGAAACCTTTTCCTGAAAAAATAACCTCTAAAACTAGTACTTCAGGGAGATTAACATGAATGATTTGTCCTTAAAAGTGCACTTTGAAATGCTAGTCACAAAAAGCTATTTCCCAAAACATTCCCTTAATGTTATGGCAAAATGCACAAAGTGCTACAGCTGGATTACCATGGGAACTGAACCTATATTTGAATCTCAAATAAAAAGTGTAATGACAGCTTTCCCATTTTTCAGAGCACTTTTTATTTCCTCTCACAGTTGTGTAAGTAGTTAAAAATACAAACATTGCCATGTTAAACAGAAGGCCTAGAGAAGCTAAATAAAGCATTTCATACCACACAATGTATTTGCTCATTTACTAAAAGCTTTTATTAAGATTCTTCTCCAGTCTGTTTTCAGCACTTCTGAATGATAGGGAATCATTTTCTTGACAGGGTTAAACACTGACTTTGCAGACAGCTACTGTGTTACACTACAGACAAGAAAGATATTAAGAAATACTGCTAGTTTGAGAGAGAAGTCCAGTGAGTTTCCCAACACAGAAGTTTGCTAAGATGCCTCAAAAATCCTTTTTCCCTTGGTAACCAAGGCACAAGAACTAATGCATTAGTGGGTTTTTTTCAGTTCATGTCCATGTCTGGCTTCTATCCACTTTTGTTAAGTACTTGTGGTTTGCTGGTTCAGAGACTGATGGGGTAAACTAATTGCAGCAGTCTTTCAGCACGGGAGGACTGTGTGCAAGTTTTGTATCACATTACACGAGAAAATGACTGGAATAGTTTCATCCTGGCTTCTAATGAACATCTGTCGGTATCAAACAGCCAAGGCCACACAGAAAAAAACTGACAAGATGCTCCTGACTGACCTAATCCTAAAATAGTTCAGGTATTACGGGTCAGAGAGTCACTGAGAAAAATAGAATAAGGTGGGAAATGTAGAGAAATATGAACTGAACAGAGCATTAGAGTCTATTTCAGTATCCTGCCTCCAGCAGTAGCATATAAACCCATATATTTATATATTTTAAATTAATTTAATACTCATTAAAGATAGTAGTTCAAACTCTGTGCCCTTTCAATCCTTGGACACTTGCTTAGCAGCAAAGAAGCCTCAAGCCCTCATTTTCTTGATGTCAAATATTCCATAGGTGTGAAAAGTATGCTTCAAAAATAATACACAGCATGTTGTAAGACACTATTTTAAGAAGATTAAATTGCTTCTTGCTATAAATTCCAACACTATACTTGAAAAGATGAAGAAGCAATTCCCACACTGATTATTCAGGAGAGTTCCAACGTGATTTTTCCCAAGACACCAAATAGTTTTCAAAAGGTAAATGGCATACTGAGCTGCCATAAACCGCTCATTAGTTCATGTCAATTTTGGCAGTGTCACACTATCCCTGAAATAGTTACTCACGTATAAACATTTAAGGGGAAAAAAATGCAACACCTATTATCACAGCTTCAATCAGTACTTCATAGTACATCTATGCACAGTTCTCCAGCACTAATAAATTGATCATACTCAAGTTTGGACACACAGTCAGCAAAAATTCCCACCTACAACTCAAAACTAATTTGTGAAATAGGACACAAAGAAAAGATAAAAGTAAGTGAACAAGCTAAAAGATACGGGATTTAAATGCCACAGGAGGCACAGCTGAACACCAACTGCACAGTACCTGCAGCAGGTATCCAGAGGCTCATCTTTTAGGGGTTTGATAGACCAAGTCCTTAATCATTTATGAAGCTTCAAAGACTAGAAATAGTACCAATTCATTTGGAACAAAACTGACTTGAAAGTAACTATTTTTTCAAATCAGGATTCAAGGCTAGGCAGGGAGATGGTGGCTACTGTAAAGAAATTTGCCTTTGAAACATCAAAGGAATAAGCCTATGATAGGATTCTTCAATGGTGTTTCTACTTGTTTTCAGGCTGAAGTAGCTGTCTACTAGAGCTCTTATACATGATATTTTATTCACATGAAAATTTCTCAACAATTTATGGGAGGTTTGAGTTTATTTTAGAAAATACTGATACAGTCAACGCATTTCAAGACTAGCTCAAACCAAAAAGATGTTTAAAAAGTGTATTTCTATGATCTGCAGTTAGGAAAAGTGTCCCTGGTGCTGACAATTAGAAGTGTGAGAGCTTTATCCTGCCATAAAATTAGAGAGGAAAAAATGCCAGTCTATACTAAAACATGACAGCACACCATTAAAATTACCAGAACCTAAGTGTGCATATCATGCACTTCCAGACATGGCATTTTTAGCTTCCAGGCACCACATTTTCAACAACAGAATCCTAATAAACTTTGCACCTATCTGACTGTATTTTCCAATGTGCAAAGCCCCTCATGTATCTGGAAATATGTTCAGCCAAGAAGGGGCAGGACATCATCAAGAACACAAGTCAGTCTGATCTTTCATCCTTCCCGTTACCCTGAAAGAAACGATGCTGCAAGTGAAATACATCCTTATGCTGTCAACCACCAGTCTCTGCCTACTGGGGCTTCAAGCAGATGGATTAAAGTAAGACTTTTTTAAGAAGAATTTTGGAACAGCACTCTTTACACCTGAATTTCTATGTACCATTTGACTGCTTTAGAATTCATCTTAATATGCAAATACCATTGAAGGTTTTAGAATTATGCTCATTTATCTACAGAAAGCTCCTGGTTTCAACACATTTTCACATTTTCCTTATGTTGTGTTTTTACTTGCACGTAACATAACTGTACTGCTACAGACTGAGATGGCCACTACTCTCAGTCACTGCAGGAGACAGCTTCCAATACGTGCTCTCTAACCAAGATTAAATTTCTACAGCGACTTAAAAGGTTGTATTTAATAGTATGCTGCACACCTATTAGCGGAAAAATTCAGTAGTCTTGCCAAGGACTCTTTCAGTAAAATGAATGGCACAAAGGGATTTCATATGAAGCAGCTGCCATCAACACACAGAGCAAAGAATGTCCTTGCTGAATGCAGGTTTTAACACCATTCAACAATCGATCACTCATTCTCCAGCGCTGCTCAGTCTAAGAGAATGCCTGGACTTTTACAAGTCAAGAAATGAATGTATATGATGCATATAACGTCAGCAGATATAAGATCTAAAAAAACCCAAGAACCACCCTCCCCCTTACAAATCCAATACTGAGTATCTCCTAACCTGCAGGAGGTACACAACCTACTGGAAATGAGGATGTGAAGACTGAAAAAGAGACTATGAACAAGATCAAGCAAGAGACCAGCAACAGCTACATTGCCTCAGACATAGTAGTAAAGCTGAGAAGAGCCTGAAGCTCTCCTAGTAATGTGAAAAAAACCTCCTCAGACAGAAGAAAATACACTGGGATACTTTTGACATTAGGCAAAAGCAAAAACCCTCAAGTAGCCATTCCCAGGATTACGACCACATTTGCTTACCTAGATAGAAAAGATCTGGTACTGTTTCACAGGGAGAGAAAAAAGGCATCTAGAATAGTCTAAAAGCAATTTTTGCTTCTCATTAAGCAGTAACTTACTTTGGTAGTGCTACAAAAATGCACAGAAGGCACAAATCCAAGAGTAAAGGGTCTTTTGGAATGCTTCCAAATAATCTGTCCTGATGCATAATTTGGTGGGAAGCACCACAGGGAAAAGCAAAATAAGCTCTCTGACACAGTTACTACAAAGCCATCTGTGAGAAGCAAAACAGACCTCCATATACTGGCAATATTCTACCCTGCCAAACTCCTGCTTTTCATTGGTCAAATAAATGAAGCAAAGATAGCAATGGCTTGGAGTTCTGCTAATGTGAAGGGGGGATAATACAGAAAACCTAGTTGTAAATATGTATAAATATTCATGTATTTCTTTAGTCTGTCTTGTCCTAACATAATCAGAAATCAGAGCTATGCAGGTGTCTTTTTTTAACCCTCTTTGGGATTAAACACCTCCTACATAAGCAGTAACATGAACAGCATTGCTGAGAGCTACCCTAAGAAGCAGAGGCCAAATATTTGTGTTAACTAAGAGAAAAAAAAACATATTTGCAAATCAAAACAATTACAGATGTGATTCTGTGAAAGGAGAATTGAGCGTATGTATCTTGTCAAGTAAGGACAGTAAGCGGTATCCTTAACAGAGCAACTGCACTGCAAGCAGTGCCTGAGTACCCTCTTACCAACACAGGTGGATGGTCCTGAGAAATTTACAAATTGCAGTACTTTCTTAGTTTTGAAAACCAACGTTTATTGTTTTTTGAAAAGCACGTTCTCTTTTCAGTTTCCACTTTTACTGCTCTTCTTAGGCTTTACATTAGAATAGCAAACATGATAAAAGCTGAAAAGGCTTTGCTTGTTCAGTTGGCCATAGTCCAACAATATTATGTCTTACTTCAGGCAAAACATTTGTTTCAAGCTTCAAGAAAAAACAGCAGCCTGAAGCACACTTCCATGAAGTGATAAACAAACAAATTGTTCCATCTCTGGCAAAGAATGAGATGAGTCACGCTTGCATGACTGGGAAGGTGTTCAGAAAGCTCACCTTGTACAGGCGTCACTACCGTCCCTTTGAAATGTGGATTTATGTGTATGTTCTTCGGTTGCTGAGGTGTCACTGGAGGGGGAGTCATCATTATTCGTGGTGTTTCTATCTGAGGGGGCATATGTAGCCCTGGAGGAGGAGAAGAATGATGCTGATGCTGTAAAGGAAGCAGAGATTGTAACTGTTGCTGCTGCTGCTGTTGTTGCTGCTGCTGTTGCTGTTGTTGTTGTTGCTGCTGCTGCTGCTGTTGCTGCTGGAACAGACTCATAACAGGTTGCTGGTGTGTTGGAATTAACCTCTGTGAGTGAGTCTAAAGTCAGACAAAAGAACAGAGTCACTAGGCTTTAAAGTTAAAATATCCTGACATAAATGAACACAAAACCAAGACATCTCTGGAAAACAATTAAGGCCAATTATGAAAAGAGAAACTTCTTTTCCCTATAATCAACTGGAACCACCAAAAACCATCAGCACAGGAAAGCAAAGGAGCAATTAAAAACATTCATATGAAGGAGATGACAGCAAAGCAGCACAGGAAATGCAGACACACTCATTCATTTTTAACAGCAAAACTGTCTAGTTTCATACGTCAGGGTTCTGCATATGTCAGTGTTACTAACTGCAATGAGATTTATTATGATTACTGTGAAGATCACTAGAAATCTGAGTCCTAGTATCAAAACAAACCACTACCTTTTCTCTCATGTCTAGAAGAGACTCTCTGAGATAAAAGACCTAGCACTAGCAACAGAAGACAAAATACAAATTCAGATATCAGTGCAGCACAAATTCAAGTACTCTTCAGGTATCAGTGCAGCACACCTATCCATACTGCTTGAAGAAAAAATTCATTTGAAGATACCTTTGAAAGGTATCTTTCCAAATAATAAAAGAAAGTCTTTTGCTGCTCAAGTCTCAAAATCAAATGGCCAAAATCAGTGCTAATAATAAAAACCTCTTGTGTATCTTTTCAGAGACATTCTTCTGCCTCTCAAGTCACTGTTACTAGATCTCAGTCCTAGTCCAGTAACTTCCAAATGGCAGCAAGAAACCCAAAGAGGCAACCTTTCAGCAACAAAGGTGTGACAGATTGTTTCTTTCAGCAGCTGTATACATAAAGCAAAGCAGCCACACAGTATGAACAAGAAGACACTGTGATGAGCACAAAAATATTTACATTTAAAATCAAAATAGCTTGCAAGGACTACAGCAAAACAGAAAAAAAAATAATTCAACCTTCACTGCTTAAAAAGCACAAAATGTACTGTAGGGCTCTCAAGTACTGAGATATCCACTGACTCCTGCCAATGCTCAGCACCTACTTACTGCTGCTGGAAAAAATCACCTTTAACACAGATGACCATGTCCTGCAAAGACATACACAGACTTTGTTCTACAATCTCAGCTTCCAGTATATTTTATGACAGTGAGCAAAATATAAGTGCTGATCTCTTGATCGCTTACTGGAGTTGGTTTTGGTTTCTTTAAGGTTTTTTGAGGGAAAAAGTAAAGCCTTTTATATTATGATACAAAGCACAGCAGAGAAAAAGAAAGTAGTAACAAAGCTAAATTTCATTTGAAATCCCAAAATAATAACTTATCTAGTAGTGAAGTCGTGATTACTGTCCTATTTACCTCCATAGTAGCATAGCTTACACACAAATAGATTTTTTTAAAGTAGTATCAGCAAAAGTATTACCTTGACAGAACCCAAGTAGTATTTTACAGAACCGTATTTTTTAAACTACATTATTATGAATAATGGGAGACGGAACAAGTTTCCATGTTGCATGTAGACTTCTCAGAGGAATTCAGTTTTTCCTCCATCCTCATGCAAGCCAGCAGGTAAGTCTGACTGTGATTCATCAGTCAAAATGCACTTTTCATTTGGAGGTCTTGAGATTGCTTAAGGTGAAGCCAGTAACAAGACTTAGCGCATACTTTACAATCATCAAATCACACAAAGCCCATACTGTCTAACACTGCTCTGCAAGAGCAGAAGGTCTACACTGGAATATATATTCCACTTTTGCAAAGATTCATGATTTAAAATGTATTTCTCCACAGCTTCCTGAAAGGACACTCAAAGAATACTAAGGATTAAAAGGTACCATTGTTGATGGCTGGTTTGGCAGCAGTGCAGGCCTGTGATCCTTCATTCTTCCCCTATCATTATTATCTCTCCTTTGTTCTCCCATTCCATGGCACATAACTGAGCCTCCTCTTCTCCCTCCTCTCCTGGAGCCGTATCGCCCCTGCTTAAGCTGCCTTTCCCTCTCTTCAAATTCACGCAGTGCTGCTTGGGCTTCTGCAGAAAGCTCTGTTGAGAGAGAAATGGGGAAAAATATTTTAGCTTTGTGCTGAAAAAGTGGAAAACACAATGACAAATAAAACACTGCCAGAACTACAAAAGACTCTCTGCGAATAACAGAAAATTTGCAGGCACTTTGATCTCCTTTAGGTGGCATGTTAACATTTCATTAAAGACATCTTTATAAGGAAAAAGAACAGATACTTGTGTCTTTCACACAGGCAAAAAGCAGCAGAAAAATGAAACAAACATGAACAAAAAGGTTTGGTTGTTTTCTTTTTGAAGACAGTATTGAAGTCTACCTTCTGCTCTAAGAGGAGGCTGTGGCTCCTCTCAAAGTTTTGTTATCTTTAACATCTCACTTATTTGCACATGTCAGGCAAGACAATGCATCTGCAGTAAACTTTACAGTAAAGGATCTGTTGATTCTTCCACATAAACAGATTTTATGCACCAGACTCTTCTGCACATAGGCCTGTTCCAAAGAAGGAAATTCTGCTTGCTGAAGTGTTTCTAGTACATAACTACTTAATTTTTCTTGTATTGTATGTGATTTAAGAGCCAGCTGTACTTCACAAGTGGTAATTCCACTGAAGAGAGAGCACACGTTAAAATCTGTGCTCAGCTCAAGTCAAACACCTGGCTGCTGATAACACCCACCCAATGCACATCACAGGTAAACACCAGAGAACATGTGGTACTCTGCAAAGATGACAAATTTGCTTGAAACCTTGAACAATGCTGACAACATTAAGCAAGAAATGATGCAGTAATAGACCCAGGTAATGAAACCACTTGAAAATACAGAAAAGGTTTACAACAGACTTCAGGAAACACACCATGAAAGTATAAGCAGAACCATTCACCAGGTTTCAATCATTCACAAGGGGTAATAAACTAACTCAAATGTGCAGCTGAATCTTTTGCCATGTGCTAGTCAGATCCTTTGTTACCCCTAATATTGATTTCTGCCTCTAACAAGGCAAAATTAAACTACTAAAACCAAACACACTCCTGACAAATAAAAGCATATTTTGAATTAATATAGTATTTACTTGTCAATACTACATGCCATGGCCATAATATCTGAATATCAGAATTGAAGTAATTAGTATCTGGCAGTAGACATTACTACTGTGTCTCAACACCACTAGATATCCTCTCCCAAGAATACGTAACTAAATCAATTAAAAAATTCTTACAATTTCTTGTGAGTCTAAAGGCCAAAGCTACTTAAACCACCATCTTAAACATCTTCATAAGTAATCTCTATTAGTCTTTGAAGTCGAGGATTGACAGAAGGGCAGAAAAGGGTGAGCACTGAGCATTCCCTCTGCAGCAGTTGTTCTTACTTGGCTATGAAAACTACCTGCATGACTGAGCTGCAAAGTCTGTAAATTTGCATGTCCCAGTTTTCAGAGGTATTCAGCACCTCCACAAGCAGGAGTTTTCAATTTTTGTAAGTTCTGAACTTGGTCATGGCCTGTAAGAACACAGCAAACATCATGTCTAAAAGCCCAGGATCTGCCTGATTTTCCTATTTCATTTTTGCACATTGCTGATAATAAGTTTCTCTACCTCCTTTTCTCTTCACTCTTACTCCACAACTGAATGGCATAAAGCCTTAAATACTCTTATGAAATGCTACCTTTGCCCTCAAGACACCTGCACAGCAGAGCCCAAGACAATCAGGCTTTATCAGGAAAATCTTACAAAATGCTTTGAATGAGGGAAGGAACCACAGTCCCTCAAGTCTTAGGTATCAAATGTGCATTTCTGACAAAAATTAAGAGAAATGTGCTCAAAGCAATCAAAAGCATTAGATGCAAGTAAAACAACTGCCACGGCCATCTTTGGCTGCCAGGGATCCAAAAAGTTGGTTAGATGGAAAAAACAGAGCTCTGATTTCAAGTCTCCTTCCTCTCCACACCTGCAGCAAGTTGCGTTCCTTCAGCCTGAAACACAGACGGACACTTCCCATATATCCCTGGGGGGAAATAGTGCCACTATGTTGCAAAAGAGTAACATTCTTTCCCTTCTCCAGAAATAATCCAGTCCTTCAGGGCATCCTGGCCGTGCTGCTGCTTGGACAGTTGTCCCAGGAATAGGACAGGCAGGAAAATTTCTCTGCCATTTTCCACATTACAACCCTGAACTCAAGAAAGGCTGTACTCTCAAAAATAAATCAGTCATTGCAAAAAGTACCTACCACTGATGGTCAAGCAAGATAAAAAGCAAGTTCCTATTAAATGGTTTAGAATCACATGTGAGAAAAGCAATTTTTAATGAACCTGGGAAAGGAGCTGGGCTTCCTAAAAATCAAGACTATGGCCAAGACTCTCAGCTTCTTGGACACACATTGAAGGACACTGAATAGAAACAACTTTGGAAGAAAGAATGGGCAAAATTCTTTTAATTCAAACAGAAATACTTCACAGCACTGTGCTGATTAAGTCTGGGGAAGGGATGACAGCATCCATGCAAAGTCAAGTCTGTCAATCTTCGATGTGCAGTATCACTCTCTTTAAAACAAATGAATTGTCTCCCTCCTCACGTTACACAAAATTTGTCAAACTTTTAAAGCCATGTTCTTAAAGGCACAGTCCACCCACACTCTCAGCCAGAGTAGAGAATGCATGTAACACCAACTTCGGAAAAAAATACCCTAAACAAAACCACACACAAATTCACACTCATACTACATCTATGACCATAGAAGTACAATATAACTCTTGGATTTTAAAAATTAAAATATTACATCAACATCAAGCATACTTCCCCCACACCATGCCACTGAGGGCCACTGTTCGACCTGTGAAGAACTTTGCTTAGACATGTAAGCGCAGGTTCAGAACCTTCCTGCAGAAGTTAAGACTGATGCCATGAGCACCTCAAGTGTTGCATGTAGCTACAGATAACCACACATCAAAATATAGTCAGCCCTGTTATGAGGGAGGCTGCATATTGAATTTGAGAGCATCATGTCCCACACAGAGATATCAAGCAGAGGAGATGTAATGGGAGATGGTTTTTCAAGGAGGGAAGCAACAAAAACACTCTTCCCTGAAAGCAACCTCAGACTGCTTAAGAAAAGAGATAAGCAGAGCAAGAAGAGATTCTCTTTTCCTCTCTGGGCTCTTTCAAAGCACAGCCAGGTATTCACATGAACACAGCTTCTCCCTGGCTAAGAACTCGTGCACAACTACAAATACATATTCATTTATATTTATATATATACAGTATGTTGACACTGTACATTTCTTTTCTCTGCATCATCCAGATCCGCAAACTGATTACGCTCTGTGTGTCTGGACACAGAGCAACTGGACACATTTAAAACACTTTAATTTTCTAGCCCTGACTGAAATCTTAGCCATGAGGCATCACAGTGAACATAAGTCAACTAAGCAGGGCATAACAAGAAGTACTGCCACATCCAACTGACCTTTGCTAGCACTTTGCAATTGGTTCTAAGTCTAAGGGTTTGGGTTGTCTAGTTTTGATTAGAAACAGAGGGAATACTTTAGTTTGGTAATACCAAAGACATTTTTCCTCTTCACATTCCTTAACAGGTAACTACATGCAGAGAATGACAATTCCCACTCTGAGAAGACTTCACCTACAGGCACTGAAAGAAAGTAAGCATTTCTTATCAAAAGTGACAAACTTGGTATTGCTAGAAATCAACTGCACAGCTGTCTTACAATACCTCTTCTGAACTTTGAAAAACCATTCTTTACACTATCTTGAATGAAGAAATGTTTAGGAAAGATCTTAGCTACCTTATTGAGAACACTGTATTTCTACATTTTTTTTACCAGCATACACTTGGTCTCATCTTGACTGTACAGTTCTCACATACACAGTTAATGCAGTGAATCAGCAATTATTTTTCTAGTGTCTCTAAGTGTCAAGATTAATTTCACTATTGCTAGTAATAAAATGGTTTCAAATGACATCTTTAATCAGTAAGTAAGAATGCACTCCTCCAATAGAGACAAGCTGTCACAAAAGGTCACCAAAATGTGACAGGATGGAAATTACGTTTGTAACTTCAACTGAAATGTTAATTCCTCTTTAAGTGTTTTCTGAACTATGTTCATATTTTAGAGTAAGGAGATGTAGGTCTGCGATGAAATTTCATTTTTAAACCACAGCAGCTGTAAAAATTTGCTCCATAATCTTAAAAGGAAGCAGATATTGATATGCAAACAGAATTTTTTGTGGTTTAACCTTCAACCACATGGTCAGTTATCTGGTCTCTATCAATAAATTATCAGGAAAAACTATGAATAGAAACCATTTCACAACAGCAGTATTGTGTTTTAGGCAAACATTAGCTTCCAAAAAACCTCTTTATAGAATCATCCACATTTGCACTCATCTTTTCCTTATATCTCAGAGATACATCCCAGATCACTTACAAGTACATTTACAAGTCTAATTCAAACCAGAGTTCCTTTAACAGTCAAGCTCAACTACAGGTTTTCTCCTTATTGGCTGGTCTTGTTTTTATATTAAGCTAAAGAATAAATCCACAGACACATGAAAACAAATGCAGTTGTCATTAACCTTCCAATTATGTGCAGAAATTTAGTTATTACAGTGAACTGTTGTTTTTAAAATATTCTGTTTTGTAAAGCCACCAGCACCTTTTCTATAAACCAGATATGGTCTCTGTGAGGTTTGTAGAAATACGGTCTTACGGTTGCAAACACATTTGGAATGCAACTCAGCTAAAATACTCTGCCCTTTACTATCACTCATTACTGCAAAGCAATCCATTGCCACAAAACCTCACCCAAAGTTTCTGGAATGTTTCTCCTTTCTCTTGTCACATCTGAGAGCCTGATGATTGTTCCTTCTTTCCGTTCAGTTTTGAAACGTAATCGTCCAGACTCTTCATCATCATCCTCCTCTTCATCAGATTCTTCTTTTGTTTCTTCTTGAAGTTCCAGAGATCCAATAGCTGCCTAAATCACAAAAAACAGAGGACATGCAGCCTCAAAAAACTAAATCTCTTAAACAACAGACAGTAAGTAAGTAAAGTAAGGAAGTAAACAGCATAAAAGGCAAAGCTTTCTTTAAAAGCCCTGTTCTACAAATTTTGCTGGCAATATACATTGTGCTCATCTATAATTCAGTAAACATTTAAGAGCTTGGTGGTATTTTTTGAAATAAAAATAAATGTACTACATAATAAATAATAAAGTAAAATCTATTTAGGAAATAAATTTGCTGTAATATTTAATGTAATACTGAAACTCCAGTTAGAACCTCCATTTGATTAGTAGGTACTTCTGCACTGACTGGCTACGATGCAAACATTGGTTACTACCAGAATCAAGTAATAGGAACAGTAAAACTTTTTTTTTTTCATCTTTTAACAACTGTCAGTACCATACTGTTAAAAAAAACCCAACCAACCAACAACAAAGATAACTTTGCATCTCAGCCCCATTTGTCTACGTATGTATGCCTTTACTTTGTTCCTGAAATACTTCCAGTTTCAATTCAGTAATTGATGGCAATAATGAGAACAGGACTGGATAAATTTGAAAATATTATATTTGTATTCTGGATGCTACTGGAATGCTTCCGAAACTTACTTTACAGTTCTCTCTAAAACAGAGAACATTTAGTTAAATAAAACAGTGTTCCAAATGAAAATGGATCCCTCTCCTTCAAATTAATAAAAACTAAAAAAAAAATTTCATTTTCCCATGCAGACCTGATGCAAATATCCAGAGTGTTACACAAATTATACTGGATTTCTACTGTTGAAAATCAGAAGTGTTCTAACATCATGTGATTATACATAAAAATTTTTGGTTACTGTGTATTTGATTACTTGTACAAGCCTACTCGCTCATTTCTTAGAGCATGCTAAATTAAAATGCACATGCATTTTAATTATATACAAAGCCACTAAATACATCATAAATTTTATGCTGCTTGAGGACAGTTAAAAAATGAGCCAAATCTAACATTCAAGAATGGTTTAATCTTCTAATTAACCAGATCAGTGCAGAAATTTATATGAGAAAGGCACAGCAAGTGTGACAGTCTGGTGGACAGATATTAGATCACAAATCAAGAAAAAATTAATGGCATAATTGTGCAAGAGATGGCAAATTTCCCCATCCAGCAGCCTGACTTCACCCATAACCAAAAAGAAACGTGTAAAGCAAGATCAGAGACAGGATGACCTGGCAAAACAGTTTCTGCTTTAAAAGACAGCAAACCTTATGAACTCAAGCTCAAAGCTACTCCAGGCTTTGGTCTGATGAATAAATGACCTGTATACTTGGTCACAGGGCTTTAATGGGCTCCTGATCCCAAGCTGTATTTTATCCATCCCAGACAAATTTTTAAGCGCTACATTTCCTGACCTCACAAAACTGATTTAAGACATAGCTAAGAGAACAGTCAAATTTAACAAAAGGCTTTAAGGCTTTCACATTACAAATGTATTTATTTTGGTGCAACATCTGTATCATATTAACAAAAAAGCAGGCAAAAACAACAGGCAAATCAGGAGAAAAAAAAAATCTTCAAGACTGAAAGAAATCTAAACCTCAAAAGCAAACCCAAACTGAGCACAACTGGTCTAATTAACATATCCACATATAATCAAAATACCTTTGAGGGCAAGCAGTTGATACTCATGGAACAGAGGAGGGATGTTAGCAAGGAAAGAGATGCTAACATGGTTTAATGAAAACAAACAACACCAAGAGAAAGACAGGGTCGGCATTTTACTTTGAAAAGAGGGACTCCCAAAAGAGCAAGCAGTAGCAATATCTCTATCAAATCTGTGCTTTTATAAATATGACAAACCCCATAATTTTACTGTCTCACTGCTTCTTTTTAGAAACTTTCCCTTCAGGACCAGGATTTGGAAGTCAGAACCAGAGCAGCTGTTCTGCAAGACATGCTTACACTGCTTTACTCTAAAGCATAAAGCCCAGACATCCATTCTCTACGTCCATGGCCTTAAAAAGCTACACTGGAATTATTAATCAAAGATTGGTCTCAGTCATGTAATCTCATCTGTGAGTGCTAAATTTAACCATGCAAGGCTCTATGGGTAGCTCAAACTTCAGAATTAGGACTAGAAAGGGTAATGAAGTCCAGACTGTCCTGAAAACTACTGCTATGTTTTAATGAAATGCTGTAAAAAGAAAAAAAACCTGTAGAAACTCTGTTGCATTTTGACAATTATTCATTCTGGGGAAAAAAAAAAAATCTTTATTCTAAAAAGAAAACATCCCAAGTTCAGACAGACTATTAGACAGCTATTTACCTATAGAGCAATAAAAAAAAACCCTCAAACTTTTCTAGAGTAGCACTATTCTACTCTTACCAACGTATACCAATTCTGAAGTCTTGGTCTGACTCACTTTATTCATCAGCATAATGCTCATGCCACCCATTAACCAGTAACAGCCATACAAGCATAAAATATCAAAGACAAAAATCAAAGGAGCCAATGAAAAAGAAGGCACCAAGGCAAGGCAGTGCTGGAAAATGGTAACTGACCAAAGTCCAAGTTTGATTAGACCTATTATTGAGGGATTTACGCAATGGAGACACAAACATGTCTGACAGCCATCCATATGTTCTCTCCACACAGCTCCAGGAAAGGTTGGCTGAGCAGGGTAGGAGCACACACCCTTCCCCTGCAGTTTTTTCTGCAGCTGTAAGATACAAGATTCCTACATGATCCTTTCCAGCCTCCAGATGAACAGAAGGAGCTGTTTTGCCAAGATTAGAGCATGAATGGATTCTATGTTTCAAAAAGAAACTGCAGACACAGAATTAAGATATATAATTACTTACAGGATTTGCTTTAATACGTGCTAATCGTGAATGTCTCTGCATCTACGTGACTAGTCCTTGAATGGCCACTTGAGGTCACCGGACTGGACTCATCAACACAGGCTTCTCAGCAGCTCTCCTCAAAGGGTGCTTTACATTTCCCACTATATGACACCTTGCCCAAAGCTACCAAAGAGCTTTGCTGACCCTTATACAGAACCAGAATGACCTTTCTTTTGCCAGGAGGTCAGGGGCTCCTGCCGTCCTCATTAAATAACTATGCCATAAATCCCAGGCACTGAGCAGAACTCCACACTGGGTTATGACATGCTATAGAGAAGGAGTGAGTGCTCCTGCCCTGAATAGCTCACAGGCAGAAAAGGTAAGACACAGCCCAAGGGAAGCTGCAGAAACATGGACAGCACAATCCTCCCAAACATGGGATCCTCCCTAACAGCACTCAGGAGAGCTTTGTGCCAGATTTGTAAGATGTGCAAAACCAACTAAATTAAAGGTGAAACAAACAACTTTTACTAACAAGCCATAAAAGAGGAAGTGGAGGCATCTACTACAGGTTAACATTGAAGAAACAGCACTTAGTCAATCCCAGGGGATCAAGAAGTAACAGGGCAGGTAAGAGGATATTATACCTATTCCAAGGGCACTTTGATTCCACAGATGAAAAATGGAGCCAAAAAACAAATCTAAGTGCCTTAAAATATGTTTAAAATTTGTCTGATTTGCACTCTTTTCACCATTTTCCTCCAGGCTGGCAGGCAGTGTTTTCAAATTTGAACAACACAACTGAAGTGCACAAGTTTTGGCTAAACACAGATGGGAAAATTCAAACAGACACATTGATCTTTTTTTTTTCCAAGCCTATATTCTATCAAAAGAAAAGCAGTATGCAGCACTTCTTCATGAAATGCTTTCTTGATTACTCTTCATTTTTATTATCAACATAACCCAAGACACGGTTTAAATTATGCAGTGATAAATCCCCCATCACTGACTTCACAGATTACTTCCAATATAAAAAAAAGACATGAATTCTAATTTCGTAAGGTTTAATTTTTATGAACATTTCACCAAAGTAATTAGTAATATTTTTCCTCTAAAATATTTAGGACATGATACCTCATGTGGCTGTTCTACTACACCTATTTGCTGCTGAAACTTCTAGGTGCTGTGTTTTGCTTTATACCTTAAGAAGACAAAAGTATTTTCTGAACTACTGCTACATTTTTCAAGGAAGCCACACAGGGTATTATTTATTTAAAATCCAAGTTCTGCAATTTTAAGTGCTGTTTCAAAAACAAACTTTACTTGCCTCTTCCTCACTTCTCCCACCTGAGTGCCACTTTTAACAAGTGTCTCACTTCCCTTATTCACTTGTTTCCCTCATGTTCCAATTCCCCAACCAGTCAGCTTTTCCCTTGGTTTACAAAAAGATTTCTTCATGCAATATAATATGAAGCTTTAGCTAGTTTTAATGTAGAAACTGCTTAAAATAAAACACTACCCAACACCCCTCTGTTACTCAGATGCCAAATTTCAATCAAGAGATAATAATGCTCTTCCTTTGTACTGTACCCATTACAGCTCCACTCTTGTGTTGCAGAACACCAACCCTTACTCCTGTTTACAAGAACTGAACGTTATGAGATTTAAGGAAAAGTGCTGTTATATAACACTTGAATAAAGACTAAAACTCTTCAGAGCTGGAGGCAGGCATCTAATCATGCAATGAACAGAAGTGAATACTCTATAAAGGTTCTCTCTCATGGTGGTGTTCTTCTTCAGTGAGTGCAACTGTGAGCCTACTGCCAAGTGGAAGCAAAATCCATACAAAATAATGAAGGAACAAAAAGATAGTAGTATTTTGGAAAAAAACCCGTGACAATCTACAAACCATCAGAATAAAGCCAAAGTGTAGACTAACTGAAGGAATGGCAAAAACATTTACCTTATATGATGAACAAATTCCATAAATGCTCCATTTACAAAATCAATTAAAAATACGCAGAGATGGTACCTTTTGAACAAAACAAATTTAATTCTGAATTGGACAAATTTAGACAATGTGATTTTTAGAGAATTCTCACTCTAGAATTCATATTCCCAAAATGAAGCTGTGCTTTCTTACAGCAATAAGTTTGGCAGTGAATCCCAGCTACATATTTAATTTTACATAATATGCATTGTGCTCATCATCTCTGACTGTGGCTGCAAACATCAAACGCATCAGTCCACCTCCAAAACACCAAAACCAAAGCGTGTATCATCAGTCCAGTGAAGGAATAAAAACGTGCTCAAGGATTTCACAGTTCTTTTGAAGGGTAGAATTAACACTTAGGAAGTAAGAAACTACCTACATTAATGTGTATCTGGTGCAAGATGTTACACTTGCAACAGCGCAGGCTGAACAATGCAGGTGGCCCCTTTCAACACAGATCTCCACCCACCAAAATTACCAAGGTAGTTTTGATACAACTGGAGCAGCACAGCACACCCAGTTGTCAGAACTTTATACAGTAATGCTGCTGTGTCTTTGAGGAATTAATTTCCTGATGAGTTAAAGCTCCAAAGAGGAAATACACTCTGACTACATTTCTCAGCAGGTAATCCATTCAATCCTATTTAATTAAGAACTGGAATAAAAGTAATATTAAAGCAGATTCCTGGTGGGGAAAGGAAGGAAAACCTTACATCAAAAAACATGCTGCAAATTAAAAACAGTTGTGATACTCTTGCCAAATAACAAAAGGAAAAACTTGCAACAGAGCTGAAGTGGCAAGTTAAAAAAGCAATTCCTTAATGAAAGGTTACAGGTGCACAAAATACGGCATTGCACACACATGACACATTCTACATTTTTTTTTAAGTTAATTTAACAGTATATCTAGTCTGAACACCCAATAGGAAATCAGTTATCCCAGTAAACCAGCCCTGGGTCAGCTGGTCCAGGGGCTTCTTTGCCCTATTTTCTTGTTAAGTCTCTTAGGTACTGGTAGAATGTAAGATGTCCTTGTCAGAAATTCTCTCCTTAAGAATAAGGCAAAATAGAATTTCAAGAATGTATAGTAAGAGTTTGTTAAACTGTGAGAGAGGGGAGGAAAAATACTAGTAACTACACAAATATATATTAAAAATCTACAAGGCTATAAATATATGAAAAATACATAAAAAACTAAAAAATCTTTAGGCATTATTATCAGGCTATAATTAATAGAAGTATACTTGGCAGACTTCGGCGTCACCTTTCTTATTGCAAATGAAGGAACTCATCCATTTTCCTTATCAAAGAAGATAAATCTCACAGGAATTACAGTCTCAACACAACTTTGAAAACAACAATCTCACCTCTGCCTGCCTAAAACACCAAAACTTCCACGCTTACACTCCTCCTTAAAAAGGGATACCCAAGAACTGTATTTACATCCCAACAGCGCCAGTGATCCATCTGGTAAAGGGAAGCACCACAGCTCTTGGAAGATTTAACAGACGGTGCAGTATTACTGTCATTTCCTACCCAAATGGGTCCATGAAGTTTCTAATGTTGAAGTCAAGACTAAATAGGCACATTTTGAACTGTCCCTTATGATTTCAATCCCAAGGGAGAGAGGAGATCTGATGTATCTGACAATATAGATGCTATCACAATTAATTTTATACGTAGTGTACTACCACCAATAATTCAACACTGGCAAAATTGCATCAATTCTTACCCGGCAACACGTACAATTCTACAAAATCAAATTGTAGCAGAACTAGTTATTTTACATTTCCATTAAATTCATGACGTACCTCTTCTGATTCATTAGCCATTGCCTGGGATTCTTCCAACTCCTCATCAGCTGCATACTCTTGTTCTTCCATTGCTTGCTCATTATATGATTGCATGTAATCTTCATCCTAAAGCAGTAAACAGGAAGGTGAAAAGACACAAGGCCAACTGAACAGGTGGGGTGTGACTGCATTGCTACAGTTTCCAGAGTGGAAGAGGAGTATTGCATCTCTCAGAACAGTCAGCTGTAAGTGATATGGCACACATACAGCATAAGTAGCAGAGCTTTTAACTAGACAATAATTTGAGTATTATGAAAACCAAAACAGTTTCCATTCATATCCCAGCAATATTATCATAAAGATCGCTAATACTGTTTGCCCCAATTACTTCTATACATCTGCATCCAATGATTAAAACACTACTGGGTACACCCATCTATAGCACATATACATTAACATCAGATTTTACCCCATCAAATATAAACAGTCTTAAAGCATTCTGCAAGTGCTTACATATGAGTGGGCTCAACTCTGAAAAATTATAAACATAAAACAAAAGCAAAATCTTGCTTAAGTTTGCTTGTATTTTCAAATACCTCACTGATCACATACAGTTTTAATTAAGATTAAATCATTTCATTAGCAATTAAAGCCAGTGCATGTTCGCTAATATGCCGCTTAAATTATATTGAATTATGCAGGTGACATTTTCTGAACTAACCTCCAATCTCTTTATTCAGGTTTAGACAGCTCTCAGTTACAAAAAGGATGAACAAGCAGGACATCAATCACTTTGGGATATTAGCACCTTAAAGATGTCTTTAGCAGGTCAATAATCTTTTCACCTTCGAAGGACTTTATCAGATCTTGTCTAAAGCCTGGATAAAAGCTTTTGCATTAAGTACTTCTAACAATTGGCAGTGTATCTCCACCACACAAAGCCGTTTTCTTCCTTAAGGATACAATCCTCAAGGTCATGATTCTCAACTGCTTTCCAGCATGACAAAGGAGCATTACCTACCGCCAAACAAGCTGTCAACACAAACTTTGTCACAGCCTAGATAAAGAAACTGGCAGACAGTGATAATAGGTCTAATTTCCCCTCCTCCCTAGAGAGGTAAACAAATTTTAAATCAGTCTAAAACCCTATGCACGTGAAGCAATGTTATCTTTGAAGATACAATAGAAGGAAACTCACTGGAAATTCATCTAGGGGTTCATTGATTTCAAGGTCTAGCACCTCATCTTCTTCCCCAGGCTCTTCCCCATATTCTATCTGGTCTTCTGTCAGTTCAGGATCATTGCCTTCATAATGTCCCTCCTCTGCATACTCTGAGGCATATTCTTCAGGTGCTTCAGATTTGTCATAACCAATTTCATCTTCCCCTTGGTCATACTCAGACTCATGTTCCAGTGAGGGATCGTTGATGGACTCGGAGAGTTCGTATGATGTCAGGATGCCAGATGTGGCGTTGAGGCTCACTGTGACACCTGGAGAGCTGTGGGATACGGGGAAAAATTAAGAGGCTAAAGTCTAACTGGCAACTACTCACAAAGACTTAGCAAAACAAAGCCAGCAAACGTCAAGTCTCCAAGTTGGTAGATAGAATAATACCCCATACACTATTTGACTCCATGCCATGTTCTCATAATGCATACTAAAATGCAGCTTATCACCAGCTGCAGGCTATTTGACCAGGGGAATCAAACCAACCAGATGGTTTAGCAGGTCAAACTGGCAAAAGTCCTGCTTGGTAACCAAAGCAGACCAGATTCAATTTTAATTCCAAGACTAACAAAAAAAAAATACACAAAATTACTATAACTGCGTCTGTTTTCCCAATCTTTTAGAATACACTAGGAAAATACGTTTTTTCTACATGTATTAATGTTGTTCATACTTCATTACCTTGAATTCAAACTTGCATTTTTATTACAGATTTCATGTTCTACTTAATATAAAATAGTCAAGAACTGTAATTTAAATGATTAAGACATTCTTAACTAGCAGAGACACTGAAAAACAATCAGTACAAAAACTTTAAATTTATAATCTGCAGGTAGGCAAAGCAAAGCTCAGAGTTTATTGTGCCATCAACACAAAAAAGCAACTAACCAACAGCAGACTAGTTCTTGATTTGTGAGCTCCGGGTATAAGGAACACTAATAATTTATTTATTTTTTAAAATAACTTTCCTATTATTCTCCATTTTCCTGTGTTTGGGGGAAAAAGATCCAGGCAGCTTTGAGCTCTTTGCAGCTCTAAAAGGGAGAAGATTTAACATAAAAATGAAGATATTATGCAGGATTATCATTATCCTCCCAAGTACAGAAGCATGATGTTGACTGGAAACATAAGGGGAAGGGAAAGGATCTCTCTGGCAATAAAACTGCTAAAAATTCAAAACTTGTCTAAAGAAACCTGCTTCCATTGAGCAATATTATCACATTTGAGACACTTAATCATCACTGTGTTTGGTCACACAGCCATCCCTGCTACCCAGGGGTCTCGAGGAGGACATACAGTAAAAAAACAGGCAAGAACTGTAACTGGGATTCCCCTTCTTGAAGGGAACAGTCCAAACCTCACTCCCACAGGGAGGAAAATGGCAGCCAATGAAGAGATCAATGGTGCAGCATTTTATCACACCTTCATCAGTCCAACGTAAGGACAATAGTTCCTTATTCTAATTACAGCTAAAGACAAGATATCTCGGAGATGGAGACAGACCTATGTATGTTATACATACACATACATTCATAGCCCTTCAGATGGTGTGCCCTGCACAGCATGCAATAAGGGAAAGCTGGAAAAACAGGCCAGTAGAAGCAGCAATGGCACTGCATCACTTTGGCATCACAAGCACCTTCTCTCCTACTTCAGTCCAGCTTGAAAAGTAAAAATAACAAGACACTCATTTTGACTTGTAATGCCCATAATTCAGCTAAGGAGCTCTATTACCACAGGGCAGGATCCTCAGTAAACTCCCATGGAAATATCTGCTCCAGCCTATTAAGTCTGTTCAAACTTTTCTACCATGTAATTGTACACAAATATTTAAGTCACAAATTCCCCTCCTTGGAGTCTTAGGAGGTAAGATAGATTTTTAGAAGAAAGATGGCAGAAAAGGACGATATAGGAGTGATGCCTTTTCCTTGGTCCTAAAAATTGAGAACCAGACACAATTAAGGGATAAAGGGGTTTTAACCTTGATATTTAACAAGGATCCTTACGGCACACCACTTCAAAATGCATACACACAATAAATTGCATATACAATTTATAGACCTTACAAATTAGCATAGCTAACAAGGATGCCCCAATGAGAGACTTGAATGAATAGCATGATATCCTCCCACCCTGAGGAATTCCCCCCTGGATGGGCCAAATCTCTAGTTTACAGGATGTACTCTAGAGAAGGCCTTGGTTTCCCAAGACAGTGTAGGGTTTCCCAGCCTCCTACTACAAGGCCTTTAGGATGTCTGGTCTCCTACAGAGAATTTGGCCTAACAGAATACTGGACTATGCTAAATTATCAGACTCAAGGAATTACAAGTATGCATGCTAATAGTATTGAGGATACATAAAAGCAATATAAATGGTATATAAAAGAAAAAGCAAAAATTCATCTTGGCATCAGGAGAAGGAAGCTTACCACAGTAAGCAATACAGAACCAGTAAAGAAAGCTCTGTAAGTGCTTATAACTAATTCTATATGCACAGCAAATGACACAATTTTTTCTTATAAGCTTTTTAGAGGGTTGAATACATTTATTAATCAAAATGAATGAAAAATAATTTTACTGAAATGTTAACAGCGCTATTGAGTACATTATATATATATACATACATATATATCACTAAGTAGTTGGCTAGGTAAAAAACAAAACTATTTTAAGTATATAGCAATAACTTTAGTTTAGTATTTATTAGTTATCAGTAATAGGAGTAATTCATAGTTTTGAGTTATCCAAAACAAGATTCAAAAAAGAAATACCGAAATTCTTGTTCCTCTTCATTGTCACTTTGCAGAAGATCATCATTCAGCTCTTCATCTGACAAGTCTGACTGATTCTAGGTTTCAAAAAAAGTCAATTGTGAACATAAAAGATATAAACTTTTAACTAAGTACTGAACACTGAATATTTTTCATGAAGAATACATCCGAAACTAACACCATCTCTTCAAAGAGATTATCTAATTCAATGAGAAAAACCACACAAGATCACAGATCTTAAAATACATTTCAAAAATCCTACAGAAATTTACAGAACTCAAATTTATCTGATTATCAACACTTCTTTTTCACTGATCCATTCTCAAATACAGCTGAAGATGACAACTCACTTAAGACAGACCAGGAAGGAAGAAAGGTAAGCTCTTGTACACAGCCCTGTGACCTTGATGCATTAGGCAAGTCAAGAAAATACATGAACTGCAACTTCTAGAGAGAAGACAGAGGAGACTGAAGGAAAGGATATGATAAAGAAAACTGAAAAATCGTGATTAGTTTGTAAGAGAAGAAAAAAACAGAAGAAAATACTGTTTCTCCTCCTAATTTGTCATCAAATTACAAAAATTCCAGTTGTTTGTTTGGTGGTTTTTTTTTGTTTTTTTGGTTTTTTTTAAATAATTACCCCTAGGGAGAGATAACTGCAGTTCAACTGAGCAACATTTCCAACCCTCAAAGTAATAGGACCAGAAAAGTTACACAAAGATCGATTTATCTAAAAGTACTAGGATGAGATTAAATAGAAGGAAGTTTAACCTAAATAATTCAGGGGAAACTTCCTGACAAATCCACTATTTCTCCACCACCTGAGTCCATACCCACAGATACTGCCCTGTAATAGGAAAAACTAAAAAGAATAGAAAAAACACAAAAAAACCATAATACACTAGAAAATCAACTACCAGTTAGTATTTACTAATTATATATAATTATATATAATTTTTATAGATAAATATCTTTATCACCTCCATTCAATGTTAACTGCTTCTGGTTTTGGTAACTGCGTAATGAACATATGCAATTATCCTCCTGGAATTTTATTCTCTTTAAACCAGCATATGAGAATAAGGAACTTCCTACCTTTAATAGGAAATGCTTACAGAAGTTATAATAATTTCAAGAAGCTAACTTCCAACATTTAGAGGATGGTTATAAAAATCTACAACAAATAAAACTCAGCTCTTAATACAGCTGGGTTTCTTAACAACCTATTCATATCCAACTAAAACTTAAAAAACTACTTTCAAAATTATTTCACTTCTAAGATAAAATATAGAAAGAGGTGACCAGTCAATTTGATTTCTCAAACAGAAGTCCTGTCTTCTCCCACTGTTATGTGGCAAATCCAAAGATATGTTTAGCTCTTTTTTCACAAAGTTCAATTCTAGAAATAGGTACAAGCAGGAAGAGTTTATAGCAGACATGGGGAAAACTTGTTGACATTCCCCAATTTTAGCTGCTCCCATATATTTCTCCTCACTTTAAAACGGGAAATCCTCTGCCCACTCATCAGACAGCGAGGTAGCAGATCATGCACACTGAGTGTGAACTTCACAGGCAACACTGACTGATTTTTTTACTTCCTCTCTGGTAAATACTGCTGGTATTTTGACAAGTGATTTTTAATAGCCAAGAAACTGGCTATTAAACTGGTACTTGGATTAAATTCTCCATCATGTTAATTAGCATTCAGGAGACCTAACGGGGTTGAAAAGAATTTTTCTCCAAGTTTTATTTTTAAAAGCCACACTTGGAGGTATTTCACAAAAGGAAACAAAGCCCTGGGTGCAGAATGCTGTGGCAGCAAAGCAGACCTCAGGTACCTGTGGCTGTCAGGCTTTGGGGGGGGTGACTGTAAAATACATGAGGTCAAACCAAACACTTGAACTGGCTAAGCTGAACAACAGTCACACTTTTAATATCTGCAACAATGCATATCTCTTACCTTTTTTCCAGTTAGCAAATCCTCTCCAAGCAAGTCATCATCAAGTTCACTGTAAAATAGTAACAAATTTAAGAAGCTGAACTTTACAAACCAAAACCAAAAACTTTACAGGGCATATGCCTTAAAAAACTGCATGAGAACTGCCTCCAAGCCAGCACAGTCTACTTTAGTAAAACATTCAGGGAAAAAAACGTATGTATTTTCAGTGAAACAACAGACCATACATATTAAATAAGTCTACTATTGCACAGTCATTTCATTTCTATGTGCTCTCCCTTCCATATCCCCTCAACTAAACGCAGCAGAAAAACCTAGCCAAGCACAGGCACAGCCATCCAAAACAACCATTCTAGAACCTTCACTCCAAGGCCATTTGGACACATTGTCCAAGCTCATTTTGTCTAAACTGCTGATTTCCAGCTCCCCAGGGAGAACACAAGACAGGAATGTCCTGTGGGCAAGACTCAGTCTACAGGTCCCCATGTGGCCCGAGCTCCCCAGTAAGGAGCTGGGAAGTCAGCTGGCTTGGGAGCCTGGATCTTCTGTAAGGGCCAGGCTTAGGCCTTGATCTTTCATAAACCCTTTATTCCCTCCTCCTCAAGTTGAGGATAAGGTCAAACATACATTTGTAGGGTGACAAAATCAAATGCATGTTTCATCAGTTTTATATTTGTGCCTAAGAATTCAGGGAGTACAGAAATATTGGCTTACAACACTTCTGCCATCACAGTGCAGCTTCCCCATAAAAATGATTCAATACAAGGAATTACTTTCTAGGAGAGCTAAACTTTAGAAAAACTGCTTAATTTCATTCTTCCTTCAGTGAAGGAATTATCCAGTGACAGGGATGACCAGATTTCCCTTCTATAATAAACACTTGTTACCTACAAAAGCACGTATTAGAATATGCATATCAATACTAAAAAAAATGCCAGTGATTTGAAATATTAGCTGTACTTTGAGACTATTTCTATCTGCACACCTTAAAAAAACAAAGAAAACCAAAAAGCACCATGCCTTACTTAGTACATAAAAATCAAATCATCCCAAGTGAGAACAGCCTATATGAACTGGAAAGGAATTGGTGTAGGAGTTCCTCATGACTACATGGTAAATACTTGAAAATGACAAGGCAATCCCAAAACATAAATCAGTTGTTTTTGCAGATGGATCGATCTCTTTCAGAGCCAATTACTGTACAGATAAGGATAGATAGGAGGGAAGGGGGAGTGAGGGTTGTAAAAATCCTGTGGGCTAGGAAAGAACAAATAATACACCAAAAAGCCCTAAATAGGGCATTATCATCAGTATACAGAACTTATCCACTGTTACTGATCACAAATAGTTCCAGGAATGACTGAACATTAACAAATAATTGTTTTGTGCTCAATGTAATATTAAACAAAAACTGGGAGATAAGATATCACACATTCCAAAGAGCAAACTGACTAGAATGTCAGCCTTTTCTTTCAGAGACAGGAAACTATTAAACAGAAATAGTTGCAGAAGAATTTCCCTACTTCAATTTTGTCTCTAAAAAAAAAAAATCACTAATATTTTCAACTGCCAATAATCTGACAAATGCACTAAAATGTTTGAAAGTATCTCCCAGCACTGTTATCCACCATTAACAGGTTTTAGTAAAACTGCACTAGAGAAATTCCAGGAGATGGCAAGAGCATATGTTACAGCATCATTCAAAGACAAAAACCAAGTTCAGGTAGCAAGAGATTCAGATTAAGGAAAGGAATCTAAAAGAAAATGAAAGATTAAATTAATTTATCTAAACATACCTAGACCTATTTATCACATTAATAAAGAGCATCCTTGATGGATTATTTAGAAGAAAATTAACATTTGATCTCTAGAATTAACTGCAAACACATTCTAGATTTTCAGAAACTCTGGCCTATTGTGTGACAGTGAAAAAAATTAACACTAGGATATAAACGAAGTTCGTATCAGAGGCAAAAAGTAGCTCAAACAGTGCCCTTCAAAACCTATTAAAATATTCAATGTTATTCAGTATTTTCATTCATAAATTAGAAGAAAAATGACCATGAGTAACTTTTTTAATAAACAAAGTAACAGCGAAAAGCCTGCACAGTAAAGTGGAACTATCTCAAATTCCTTTAAAGCAGCCAAATCTGAAGTTGTCTTTAGGAAAAAGAGGGACCACAAGGACTATATCTTACCATTAAAGAACAAAGCAAACAAACAAAACAATCACCAAGAAAACAAACAGAAAATCCCCAGACTCTAACAGATCTTAGACTAGCTGAGAGAAATAGACAAAAATAAACGGTTGCAATTTGATATCACACATCCACATAAAAGAAATTAAACTGGAATAACTAGTTCCAAAGGCACCTCACCCTTGCTATCATCAAGACACAAAAGTTTTACCAAAACCACAATACTAGGAAATTTTGGGTTAAGATAATTTTGGGTATGCTGCTCTCACAAGAGACAGATTATCCTCCCCTTCCTCAACTCCCAACGTCCAACATTTTCCTCACTGAATAAATTTGCTTTCTCAAATAAGAAAAAAAAACCCCAAAAACATACAAAAAAACGACCTCCAAAAAAAAGCAGACAAAAAGTGGGAAGTTTTCAACCAGCATAGAGAAATCAGTAATCTGAAAGAATAATCTGAACAAGTGAATTTCAGCAAAAATCAGCTACTAAATCCACCCTATCATCTTGAAGGAGAGCACCAGAAATGTGCTCTCTACACCAGAAATGTAGGTTTTACCCAAATGAAAGCTTTGGGCTCCTTAATGAGATAAACATACAAATTAACATGATAAAGACATCAGACTGACCCTCCTAAGTCTCCAATTTCATAAACATACCTCATTAAACACGAGCAGTAGCAAGGACAAGTATTTCAGGAAAATAACTTGTAAAAAATGGGAAAAATTCTCCAAGAACAAGGTTACATTTGTACTCCCAAATAACTAGGGCCTTCTGACTCTCAGTTAACACACTCCAGAGTTTGAGAAAGGATGGAGATCTGAAAATTCAAAATTATTTAAGTGACTGGGGATGGGACTCAGTCAAGTAACAACACAGTAAGAGGTGATGGTTGATCAAGATGTGTAACAAACAGAAGTCCTTCCATGAGCACAGCAGTGACCCAGCCTGAGCAAGTTACTTTAAATCACACTCCAACCAGAGCAGTTCCTTAGTACACTTGCGCATCCAAGCCTCTAACAGCCATACTGGCCTGACAGAGAGCAGACACAGCTCACCAGCAAACAGCCCAACACCCTGTATATACACCAGAGCTTGGTGTATATACAACCAACTGAGGAGTCCAAACTCCTCAGTCACATACTCACCCCCTGCAGCAATGAAAACTACCCACTTAACCTAGCAGAAAACCAAGGAAGAGGAAACTAATGCCTCTGGAATGACAATAAATGTAGAGCACTTGATTTACTCCAAGGGCTCAGCTCAGTGGAAAACTACTTGCAGTGAAATTTGTTTACTACAATCACTTGAGTGATTATTAGAGAAGACAGGAATCTACTTGGAATATTTTTTTCTCCATTTTCAAGTGAAAACCACTGGCAAAATCTGAACAAGTCTAAAAAAAAAAAAATCACAGAAAAATAACAGATATAAGTGAAAAGTTTTCTCCCAGAAAGAGTAGACCAGTGTAGCTAGCAGCTTGATTCCTGTCTCATAAAAGAACACATATTCTCCCTCAAAATAACCCACAACACACACATCTCTAAATCTTTAAAAACACTCATACTGTGGAAGAAGCCCATGCCTAAGCTCTCCTCCTCTTCCCCAATTTAAAACTGAACTAGAACTCTGAGGATAATAATTTAAACATCAAGTTAAAGTAAAAAATATTTTAAAAATTAAGTTGGGAAAATTCAAGAACTAGAAAATTCTATTTAAACCACCTAGGTCTACTAAATATTTAAAAGCAAAACAAAAACATTAATTGCAAAATTACACACCACAAATACTTTGCATTTATCCAATTTTAAATGGCATCTCTTCACAATGCTCTATATTCCTCAAGGCAAGTACATGTTTGGCACGATCTAGCATTGGCTGACACATGCAAAACAACCAACATCTTCATTAGAATTTAAATGTGCACTGCTCTAAATGTTAGAGTACAAAATGCCTGAATGGGAAAACAGAACAATGCAATTCAGCATACAGAAATTGAACATGAAAATATTCAACCTACCTGTCCCAGTCGTCATCTCCAGCTCTTCTTCTCCAAGACCTTTCTGCACCGGGCTTATCAAACTGATCAAAGTCATCATCTGTAAAAAAAAGGTGACTACATTAAGTAATTCTTACAGAAATGAAAGGTTGCCAAAGCAACCACACAGATGGGATTTTCTGGGTGAGTGTGGAGGTGTGCATGCTGTTTAGAAGATGCAAAAATACCTTTTCTATTTTTTAATTAACATGAAGAAAACAGATTAACACCAGCATTGAATTAAAGAATCATTAAGGTTGGAAAATACTTGTAGGATTACCAATTTCAACCGTCATCTGAGCTCCACCACCACGTTCACCATTAAACCATGTCCTCAAGTGCTATATCCACATTTTTTGAACCTTTCCAGAGATGATAACTTCAATTCCCTGGGAAGCCTGCTCCAAAGCTTTCCAATCCTTTTAAACATCCAAGCTAAACCTCCCTTGGCACAACTTGAGGCCCTTTCTTCTCATCCTGTCCCTTATTACCTGGGGGAGGAGACAGACCCACCTGGCTACAACCTCCTCTCAGATGGTTATAGAGAGTGATAAGGTCCTCCTGAGCCTCCTTTTCTCCAGGCTGACCCCCTCAGCTCCCTCAGCTGCTCCTGGTCAGACCCATGCTCCAGACTCCTGCCCTTCTTTGGACACACTCCAGCACCTCAGTGTCTTTCTTGCAGTGAGAGGCCCAAAGCTGAACACACGATTTAAGGTGGGGCCTCACCAGTACCAAGTAGAAAGAAGCGACCACAGCCTTTGTCCTGCTGGCCACACACACAAACCAAAATGGCCTTTTTGGCCACCTGGGCACACTTCTGGCTGATGGTCAGCCACTATCAACTGACATCTCCATACTTCAACAATAAAAAAACCCCTGAATGTACTACACAGCTTTGCCAATTCTCACTGTTGCAAGAAGGATCACCCAAGGAAAACAGAGCATGAGCTAAATCACTGGCAAATTCTGCCAATGAAGGTCCTTGCAGAAGCACCAGCTCCCCAGAAATGCATGAAACCAGGTGCAGTGGAAGTGATAGTAACATCATCTGCCAAATCTTTGCTTGCCTTGGAGGCCACAAGTTCATCCACTAACGCTGAGCCTGCACAGGCACTTTGAAAACAGGAGTATATGTCAGGTCTGCACAGGGCAGGTCAGCACCAGCAACGCAACACAGAAGAGAGAAGTCAGGTGGAAGGACCATCAATCATCTCAACTGGGGCAGTAAAACCACCAGAAGTCACTGAAGCAGATTACACTCTGTACCTAAACATGCATTTGCCTTCCAAGAAACAACTGCTGCTCCATATTTCTCTCAAGAAATACCGTAATTTAGCACACCACTTCCTCTTGCATAGCTTAGTTTGCAAATGACAAATTTTGCTAATTTAAAAATATAAAAACTTCCATTTCTCTGCAAGAATAGGCAAAGGTCATTTGCTCTGTTCAGACATCATGTCTGGTCACCTGGAAACTAGAAGCACATACCCTCAACCTCCACTCTCCTCTGACTACAGCCCAACAGAGAATGCACACCTGGATTCACTCTCTTTTCACACATTTTAACAGCTTCAGTAAGAATCAAACAAGTGGACAAATAAAATTTATGCTCAACACAGAGGGAAACCTGCTGCAGTTAAATAGTCTGCAAAATACACAAGGTCAAGCAATCCAGCCCTTGCAGTTTGACACTGAACTGGGATCACCAAGATGCCATAAATCCACTCACCCTCCTGAGCCTATTTGCATTCAACTCTTTGACCAAGTACACTGCCAAGGAACAACTGTCTTATTCAACTGGGTTTTTTGTAATAAACCTTCAAAGCCAAATCTGTCTTCAGCTCTTTAAACTCAGCCCAGTATCCTTAAATGAATATTTCCCACATGCAATGACAAACCTATTCACTTCTCACTTCATCTTATCAAAATATCAGTTAGTCTCTGACCAAAGTTTAAAAGAAGGTAAAAAGATTAAGAAGAGAAAATCTAGATCTTGCAACATCACTATATTAAGAACACTCAAACCAGAAATTTTAATCATAAATATCTATGGAAGAAAAAGTACTCAGTATGAATTATGATGCAACATGAGACAACTATGACAATCATTTTAAAACAGTAGGTTGAAATAATTCACCTTGATAAGGTTCTCCCCTTTACTATCAACAGATATGTCTGCATTTTAATTAATATTTTCTATTTTAACTGATTTACATGAGCTAAAACCATTGAAAACAGTTGTTTTACATTTTTCTGCTCAAACATCTACATATTGCAACCTCCTATTCCAATTCCTCTTTTACTCAGAGAGGAAAGCCAAACAAATACACAAGTATTTTCCATCTTCCTCTTTAAGGCTAAAGTAACTAATTCTGTGGTCTCTGGGGGGAAAAAAAAGGGCCAGATTGCTCTCTTTATGGTCATTCAAAACCACGCTCCAGTGACTGTCTTACTGCACGGACATTTTAAGGGCACAAATATCCTGCACTGACGCTGTTCTTACAGCTGGATTACAGTAATCCACTGACTTGATGTAACCACCACCACCACAACCAAAGATTCTTTTTTAAGGTAAAACAGCTGGTTTGGCAGTAACCCAAATAACAAGTGTCCACATATTGCCTAACACAGCTCAAGATAATGACCACCATCAGGAAGACAGTAAATTCTTTTTAAGATATGGCTGCTTACAAGATACGTTTTTTCATGCCAGGCACCCATTTAGCACTAGAGTTGTATTATAAACCAAGAGCACTTGAAAATCTGAGCTCTTAGCACACAATCCTTCCAGAGATGGACCTTCATATCAGCCAGGTTTAAATCTAGACAACACAAAATTATACACCAAAACTATCTTCTCTCCACAGCACAGTGAAACACTTTTTGATACAACTCGCAGTTAACTTTTCCAATCCAAATATCAAAGTTTCACAGCCACAAAAATGTTTCAACCTATTACTGCTGCTAGTGAAGGAACTATAGCAAAGGATGGTCCAAGTTCCTGGCACATTTCTAGTGTGGACCTGCACTGTCACCACTCACCCAACAACACAAAACTCCACCCTCCAGCTCTTCCAGCCCCTACAAAATTCTCACATGCTATTCCTTATTTATGAGCAACTTCTACCAAAATTCAAAGCTGAATTACATCCAGCAAAGGTCTTTTCCTCCATTGCCCTCCTGAGCAGGACACAAAAAAACCTCAAAAATGACTGGTCCATTTGCCTCTAGTGACCACAGCTTTCAAGAACTGCTTCACATGTCCTTTTCACCTCCCTGCTCTCATCTCTCCTCTCCCCATCTAAACACACATGATATAAAGATCTCCAGGACAGAAGGAGACAGCTTTTCTTTTTTATGCTTATTTATTCTGTGACAGCTGACACTGACAATGAGCATTACAAATTATGCCATTTTGACATTAAGGCCTGTCAGAGCCCAGAGCAGGTTGTAGCTTTCCTTTAGAAAAGGAGGTCACAACAGTCACGCATCTACAAATAGCATTCTGTGCCAGCTTTATTTGTGAGACAGCAGCCATGAAATGGACTCAGGCCTTGCACCTGCAATGTGATATGATACCTAACAGACATCATGAAGCATCATTTTCTCTCCATTTCTTAAACCACACAGGCTTTTATTTTTCTTCGAGCTGTCTAGGCAATAACATTGCAAAATACCAGTAAATAACAATCAATGTACCACTTATAGCTGCTTCTCCTTGAGAAACTTGTAAATCAATGTTTGGGTCATGGGTGGTTAAATGCCTGCAAAACATTAACTTGTACAGAAATAAAACCACCCAGCACCAGCAGAGTACACAATCAATGAGAGCAACAGCCAAAGTTTAATTTTTTTTAAAAATAATTCTCAGGATTACTGTGTGAAAAATAGTAGGAAAAACAAATGGATGGTTAGAATCCATGAACATAAGCTTTTAAAGCACTAAAATGTCTATGGCAGGGAAGAAGTTCTGCATCTCCTCCAGTAGTGTTGGTGCAGCTGTACACAGCAACTGTTGCTAAGACACGCCAGGCGCTGGCCACAGCTCCTCCTCACAATTCCAGGCATCCAAAGCAAAGCTCACAAAGATGATGCTTGTGCATCAGCTGGGTACCAACTGGAAGATGCTGACAGGTGATCTCTAAACACACTAACCTCCCTCTAACTTCCAGGCAAAACTAGTAAGTAAAACAAAAAGAAGCCCCACAGCATACCAAAGGAGATTAATCAAACCCCAAAAAGCATTAACTGAATAAGGAAGCAGAACCAACCAGTTGTAGAGGGAAAAACCAAATCAATCCACCACTTGGCTCTTCCTACTGCAGTTCTATGAAAACCACTGTGATCCAAGTGGCAGGGAAGTTTCAGGATGCTGCAGAGAAGGACTAACACTGGCTGGTTTGTTAGACCAGACTGCTGTGCAAGGTTCTGGCCAGCTGTGAAGCAGAATGAACACAAACATACTTGGGCCCCACACTAAAAGGTTCCTATTTTATTTATATTTACCCTGCTGCAGCACCAGCACTGATTGCTCCATACAGCTTACGTTCTGGTTTTATGATACATGGCCAAAACTGGTATCTTTTCTCCTGTTCAATGACAACAGATTATCCACACCAGAAATCCACAAAATACAAGCCTCATTTCTTCTCTGGCTGTGCTGATGGCAGTTTCTAACTTTGTGGACACTCCTTCAATAAAATCCTCATTAATTTTTCTGTGTAAAATGGAGGTCTTAAACTGCACGGTCAAGTCTCACAAGCGTAGGAGGTGAATCAGCAGAACACTGCAGAGCTCTTAACATCTTAAAATGGTACTAACAGCCTAAAAAGGTAGTCACACATAGCAACTGTTGCTACGATGGAGTATTTTACTGCAGTGACATGGCCAAGATTTCTGGAGTAAGGAAAACATTTTATGATTGCATTTTCAGTTCTCCTAGACCTACACCTGAAAGCTTTCTGGAACGCTAACCAGGTGCAGTTCAAAATTCTGTGCTCTGGTTTGTTTCAGCAGTACACTTTCAAGAACATAAAGATTATTGCAGTTTTAAGCACTGAA